CGTAGAACCATAAAATGTTCTAAGGATAAGAACCATGTTCTTAGAACATGAGCCCGATGTGTTAAAACAAGACAGTCCCAACCAGAAACGTTCGAAGAACATTTCGTGGGAACCACAAAAGGTTCTTAGAACACTGTTCGGTAGGGCTACAGGCTCGCCAGGACGCTTCGCCACTGCTTGACTTTCGTTCGGCCCGGCTCTCGGAGGTGCTCGGGGGAGGCCAGGCCCCACCGCGCAGGCTGCTGCGGCACGTGCCGCACCGCGTGCAGCGGTCGGGGGGAGGGGCCCCGCGGGCCAGCACCACGAGAGTCGCTCCGGCGAAGGGTCGCGCCTCGTGGCGAAGGCGGCCGAAGGTCGGGCGCACGTCCCCCCTGCAGGGGCGGATCTTGGGCGAAGGATGCAAATGGCCTCAGACAGGCAAGGGATAATCAGACATGGCCGCAGTATTGTCCCAAGAGTATTGCTGGACTGTTTCTGAACATTCCCCCCAAGTGGAGGGAAGGAATAATCAATCATGGCCGCAGAATTACCCCAAGAGTATTTCTGGACTGTCTCTGAAGATTCCCCCTATGTAGAGGGACGTACGCCCGACTTGCGGGCAGTCGAAGGTCGTGACCTGCTGAGGCACGTGGGCGCCCGGCGGGGGCGCGCCCCAGCCGGGCGGCTGGAGCGTCCACTGGGCCAGGGGGCCTGGTTAGGAGGCAACTACTGGGAGGTTTTCGTCGGAAGGATGAAAGAGGATTGAGCCCCATGGGGGGCTGCTACGCCGGAGCGGGCCTCGGATTATAAGCCCGATTGAGACGGACAATCTACGGGATTAAGCCGGACTTCGGACCAGGGCAAAATCCGAATTTTACCTCCCCAGAGATCCGATGTCGTGGTTTTTTTCAATGCGGGGTCCCTGGAGGTCCCGACCCCTTCCCCGGGACCCGTTTTTCATCCTGCGTCGTTTCTGGACGGTCCTGGGGCCCGGCGAGGGCACCTAGAGTCGGCGGTGGACGATTCTCCCTTTCGTAAACCTCCCCTTAGTGAAAACGGCCTGGGACCGAAACCCACGGACCTGGACCCGCAAAAATGACGGCCGCGACGCCCTCTCGCGAACCGGAAACGGCCAATTCCTTACTCGACGTGTCAGGGTAGGAGGTCTGTCCACCCCCGATAGAGGCCGGACAAGCCAAAAAACGTCCGTCTTGATTTTTCCGAGGCGTTGGACCTCTGGGCTCCCAGGAGTTGCATCCGAGCCTGGGGGCTCCCCCGGCCGCGGGCCGTAGGGCCCGTAGGGGGACGGCGGCGGCGCGCCCCAGGCCGGGGGCGGCGCGCCCCCGAAGCGGCTGATGTCGTCCGGCCGCGGCGGGGGCAGCTGCCACCCGTACTCGCCGGGGCGCGGCGGGACGCCCGGCCGCGGGGGGGGCACGCCTCGGCGGGCCTGCTTGTCCACCACCACCAGCACCAGGAGTGGGAGGGGGAGGGGGTCCTCCTCCTCCCCCTCCTCCTCCCCCTCTTCCTCCTCCTCCTTCCTTCCTCCTCTACATCCTCCTCCTCGCTCCTCCCTCGCTCTCCTCCTCATACTCCACTCCTCCTCCTCCTCCTCCTCCTCCTCCTCCTCCTCCTCCTCCTCCACCTCCTTCCCACCTCCAACTTATGGTGGTGGTGGAAAGCAGGCCCACGACGCCTGAGGTCGAGGAGCAAGCGGCACGCACGGGCACGGAGGCCGCCCCGCGTCCTCGAGAATGTAAGAGCTGGGGGCGGGCCCGAGGTCGGAGCACGCAGGCCTCGCGCCGCAGGGCCCGCCATCGGCCGGAGCGGTGCAGCGATGGCAGGGCCTCGCCTGCATGATCGTCGGAGACGGATCAGCGCATACATCGAAGGGACTCTCGGAGCCGCCAGGGGGGGGGGGCAGCGCCGATCCAAGAGATCCGCGCGGACCTCCGACTCATTCCTACTGCGTTCATGCATGTTTTCCCGCTTCGAGGGGGCGGACCAAAGCGGAGCTCACTGGCTCATGGGGACGCGGCAACTGGCAGCCGTCGCCGAGAGATCGGCGACAGGCCCCCGACCGCATGACCTGGACGGCCAACGACATCTTGATTCGTTCAACGCGGGGTCCGCAGCAGTCCTGATCCTTGCCACGTGGGCTGGCTTCTCCTCCCGAGTCGTGTGTTGGACGGGCCCGGAGGCCCGGCGAGGGTCCCCGGAGGCCCGAGAGGGGTTAAAAACGCCTGCCCATTCGTCGTGACTCTTTCGCGATGCGAGCATCTCGCCATCGCTCGGACGTCCATTCCCTGTGTTTTTTTCGGTTTCGTGCGTTGTTTTTTCGCCAAATGATCAAGGATGCTCCTCAATGGTCCTCGCCGAAGGAAAAATGCACACGTCCGAGCGATGCCAAGGCATGGGCTTCTCATGCCCCCGAGGAGCGCCTGGGGGCGCGCCGTAGCCCCAGCCCGGAGGCGCGCCGTAGCCCGCGCCGCGCCAGTCGTGCGTCGTAGCGCCTGGCCCCCGCCTGAGGGCGGATCGGCCAAGGGGGGAACATCAAGCTGGAGTCGGCGATACACACACACACACGTGTATTCATATATACATAAAGATGTGTGTATATATATCTATAAATATAGATATAGTATTATACGCACCTCTCCGAGGGAGTAAATAGAGCTCAGAGGCGATGAATTGAAGGCCGCGCCGCGTCCGCGATTTGTCTGGCCGTTTCGCTGGGGACATCCTCGAAATATTGAACATCGGTGGCATCCCTCACACAGATCGTGACGTCAGGGTCCAAAAACACTTGGGAATTTCAACATTCGAACATCAAACCTCCAAAAACACAAGATACTTCCAACGATGTTGACCTCGATTCTCAAAGAATGGCAGTTTCGTCTGAGACATCCTCGGAAATCGAGCCCCGACGTACCTTCTGGTACCCCAGACGCCGCCTCGAAGCCTCCTCGGGGCCTCCTGGAACTTGCTGGGGCCTCCTGGGGCCCCCTGGGGCCTCCTTGGGCCTGCGGTCTCTTGGTCGGGCCTCCTGGAGCCTCTTGCGGCCTCCATGGACATCCTCGCAACTTCGAGCCCAGACGTACTCTCATTCGGCCTCCTGGAGCCTCTTGCGGCCGCATGGTCGGGCCTCCTGAGGCCTCCATGGACATCCTCGCAACCTCGATCCCAGACGACCCCTTCTGGGGCCTCCTGGAATATTTTCCGGCATCCTGGTCGGGCATCCTGGGGCTTCCTGGGGGCCCGTGGTACACACATCGCAAGGTGTGGCAACCCCGCTTGCGCTCGAGTGCAACCCCGCTATTGCACTTCATTCCCAGCAGCTATCCTCCTCCTCCTCCTCCTCCTCCTCCTCGTACTTCTTTTCCCCTTCACACCTAATGAAACAAATCGGCTGGTGGGAATCGTGCTTAGACTTCTCTTGTTCATCGCTTCGATCATTCCGCCAGCCCATCTTGCATCACTGGTGCTAGATGTTCGCGTGCTCGTGACGAGCGAGAAGGATGAGGAGGACCCGGCGGAGCAAGAGGGGAGGATGAGGACGAGGAGAGGAGGCCTCTCGATGGCTTCGAGGAGGAGGCCTCTCGATTGCTTCCTCGGGCATTTCGGGGCCAAACGTCCTCGTGGGCAGCACGCCTCTTCGTGGGAGGCTCCGCGCGGGCTGCGCCCGGGGCACTTCTCCCCCGGGCCCAGGGCTCTTTTCCCACAGGCTGCGCCCAGGGTGCTCCCGGGGTGCAGTCGGGGCGTTGACCCCTTGGACGGGTCACTGGTGGTCCCGGGCTGCAGGGTGGATTTGTGCACCCAAGATCGAGGAACCCTAAATAAGGAACGAGGCCCCTTTCTCCCATAAGTTGAGCTTCGACTTCCCATGGGAAACCTCAGGAGAACCGAAGGTACACTGCAGAACAAGCAAGGAACACCGAGCCCCTCCCCAACGAAAAGGGTTCCTTCTTCAGGGCCCCGACTGTATTGTTCGCTCGGTGACACCCACGGGCCGCTCCGCGCACGCGAACTACACATACTGTTAACCACCAACAGACGGCAAGTTGTGCCGCCGCTTTCTCAGGGCCTGCACTACCACGACAGATGATCGCACGCGGCGGGAGAGGCTCGCGGCCCCTGTCGGACTCCGCACCAGGATCGTTCACAGAAGTCACGCTGATCGGGCAGGGGGGAAAGGGGAAATGCGCTGCCCTTCAGAAGAGCTGGGAGATGACCGCAGGGCAGCGAGAGCAAAACTCTGCAGTAACCTGAGGCTCGGGTATCGCGAAACATTGGGCAGGTGGTCAAGGCCACTGTCGGCTGAGACATCCTCGCAACTCTAAACCTCGGAGGTGTCCTGCCCCATGGAGGTCCGGCCACTTTCGCCATCCTCGCAACTCTGAATTCCAAGATGCCCTGAACTAGGGTGGTTCAGCCACTTCGGCCTGAGACATCCTCGCAACTCTGGATTCCGAGATGCCCTGTCCCGTGGTGGTTTGGCCATTTTCGCCTGGGACACCCTCGCAACTCTGGGTTCCGAGATGCTCTGACCTGAGGTGATCAGGCCACTATCGCCTGAAACGTCCTCGCAACTCTGGGTTCCGAGATGCCGTGAGCTGAGGTGGTCAGGCAACTTTCGCCTGAGACATCCTCGCAACGCTGACCTCGGAGAGGCATTGCCCTCGTCGATCCTCCTGCTCGATCCCCACTCCTTTGGGGGGGCTCGTCCTCGATCTTAGGTTCTTCTGCGTTCACCTCCAGGCACGCCCTGGCGGCGCCGCGCCAGCTTGCTTCCCCTTCTCCATCTCCGATCCCCCCGTGATGGTGTCTATGTTTTTTGTATGAGCCTGGGCACACACGTGCCACTTGTATCTACATCGCTATATATATAATAGATATTATTATTATGATATATATACGAATATACGTATGGGGGGGGGGGGGGAGATTGGCGATACGCCTTCGATAGCACATCCGCGCGGCCCTACGGGGGCGGGGTGGGCCACCGGGCCCCTGCTGGCGATCCGTGAGCGACTTGACCAGCGGAGGAAATGTCCGCACCCGCGCCCTCGCGGTCCGGCACTCCGAGGCGCGAGCCCGCAGGTGCGCGGCTGCACGGAGACGCTCCGCGCGGGGCATCCGCGAGACAAGCGCCCCGTTCCCGCGGGGTCGCGGCCCAGGAGCCCGGCCCGCGAGGCCGCGGAGACGGAGACCCCCCTCCAGGAAGGGGATGAGCTAAGGGGGGGGGCAAGCTCTGGAGGAGGAGGAGGGGGACGAGGACGAGGACGAGGAGGAGGGGGACGAGGAGGAGGAGGAGCAGGAGGAGGAGGAGGAGGAGGAGGAGGAGGAGGAGGAGGAGGAGGAGGTAGAGGAGGACCTGGGGGTGTCTCGCCCACGCAGGGTGCGCCTCGAGACACCCCCCTCCCTCAGCCTGAGCCTATAATCCCCCCTCGAGCGTCGCCCCTGACCGCCAGTGCGCAGGGGGCGGGCCCCGCGGCTCCGGCGCGGCCCCGGGCCCGCGCCAGTCCACCTCGGTGGCTCAGATTGGCGGCGCGCAAAAGGGGGTAGGGGGAGGGGGGGAAGGCTTCTTAGAAGCACCCTGCTTCTTAGAAGGCCTCGGCCTTACGTCTATAGAGAAGGCCCGCGCCTTCTAAGAAGCAAGGGTGCTTCTAAGAAGCCGTCAAAAATAAACCCCCCTCCCCCATACCCCCCTCTGCGCGTTGCCGATCAGAGAAAAGGATCCTGAGGGCTGTGGTCCTAAGGATGCACGGCGGCGAGCCCAGACCCCCTCGCGCTGCTAAAAAACACACACGACGTTTTTTTCCCAACCATCCTGTGGTGTTGGGTCCTCGTTTTGAAGAGACGGTGCCCCGCGTTCCCGCCTCCTTCCTCCCTCCCTCCCTCCTCCCCCCTCCTCCCCCTCCCAGCAACCCATTCTGGCACGAAGGGGGGCCCTCACCACACGTTTCGTGGCCCCATAGGGAACCCCACCGAAGGCCCCAGTGCTGCCGCCCGCATGCGTCCCGCACACCCAATTCGGCACACCCCTCACACTTTTCGTGGCCCCATAGGGAGCCCCACCGAAGGCCCCAGTGCTGCCGCCCGCATGCGTCCCGCACACCCCATTCGGCACACCCCTCACCCGTTTCGTGGCCCCATAGGGAGCCCCACCGAAGGCCCCAGTGCTGCCGCCCGCATGCGTCCCGCACACCCAATTCGGCACACCCCTCTCACGTTTCGTGGCCCCATAGGGAGCCCCACCGAAGGCCCCAGTGCTGCCGCCCGCATGCGTCCCGCACACCCAATTCGGCACCCCCCTCACACGTTTCGTGGCCCCATAGAGAGCGCCACCGAAGGCCCCAGTGTTGCCGCCCGCATGCGTTCCATCCCCATTCTGGCACACCCCTCACCGTTTCGTGGCCACAAGGGAGCCCACCGAAGCCCCATGGCTGCCGTCGCAAATGCGGTTCCACCTCCAATGCTGGCACAACCCCTCACACTTCGTGGCCCCCTAGGAGCTCCACCGAAGGCCCCAGTGGCTGCGCCCGCATGCGGTTTCACCCCCCATTCTGGCACACCCCTCACACGTGTCGTGGCCCCATAGGGAGCTCCACCGGACGCTCCAGTGGCTGCGCCCGCATGCGGTTCCACCCCCCACTTCGGCACACCCCTCGCGCGCTTCGTGGGTGGGTCCATAGGGAGCTCCACCGAACGCCCCAGTGGCTGCGCTCGCATGTGGTTCCCCCCCCCATTTCGGCACACCCCTCACACGGTTCGTGGCCCCATAGAGAGCTCCACCGAAGGCCCCAGTGGCTGCGCTCGCATGCGGTTCCACCCCTTTTTTCGGCACGCCCTTCACACGTCTCGTGGCCCCATAGGGAGCTCCACCGAACGCCGCAGTGGCTGCGCTCGCATGCGGTTCCACCCCCCATTTCGGCACACCCCTCACACGCTTCGTGGCTCCATAGGGAGCTCCACCGAAGGCCCCAGTGGCTGCGCTGGCATGCGGTTCCACACCCCATTCTGGCACATCCCTCGCACTTTTCGTGGCCCCATAGGGGGCTCCACCAAAGGTCCCAATGGCACTGCCCGCTTGCGTCCGCCACCACCCAGCACAGCCCTTGTTCCCTGCGCTTCACCCACCCAGAACAGCGCTTCGTAGCCCTATAGGGAGCTCCACCAAAGGTCCCAGCGGCACCGCCCGCATGCGTCCGCCACCACCCTGCACAGCCCTTGCTCCCTGCCTGCGTTTCACCCACCCAGTACAGCGCTTCGTGGCCCCATAGGGAGCTCCACCGAAGGTCCCAGTGGCACCGCTCGCATGCGTCCGCCACCACGCAGCACAGCCCTTGCTGACCGCGTCTCACCCACCCAGTACAGCGCTTCGTGGCCCTATAGGGAGCTCCACCGAAGGTCCCAGCGGCACCGCCCGCATGCGTCCGCCACCACCCAGCACAATTGCGGCATTCACAACTGCATATGGTTGGGTCCTTCGCCAGGCTAATCTTTTGGGGGGGTCCTTTTTGT